ATGAACAATTAAATACAGATCTATCAAGTGCTCATGAAAGATGGATATCATTAGATGCTGAATTACTATTAAATCGTCAAGGACAAGTCACACGAACATGTCATCCAACCGGACATTCAATATTAATTCGTACTTATGTTGAATTACCATCAGATTTAACTGATGAAGAATCCAAAGAATTAAGTGAAAAACTTGAAATTCTTTATGGTATTCTTGATAAAGAAGTAAATATATTCACTAGTTTATTATGCGTCTTATTATTTCTATTCCCATGAGTTTTGTCGTTCTCATGTCTTTCAAATGACTTTTTTATTTTATATAAGTCAATTGAGCTTACAAACCATATGCCGGTGTCATCCAACAGAATGAATAGATATATAGCAATAAAAACAAAAAAATAAAATAAAGGAAAACGAAGAAAACATTGAATCTTAACAATAATCATCATTATTTCTTTCTTTCTTTATTTATTTTTTATTTATTCGAATACAGGAAGAGAGAATGAAGTCAGATAAATAAAAAAAGAAAAGAAAACTAATCACATTATATTGACACACGCATATCAATCTCTATCTTAAATAGAACACATTGTCTTGATGATCATCATATGTTTAAGCTTACTAAATATATTTTTTCCTAGGGTCTTCAATTACAAGATGTTACATTTGATGAACTTAATTCACTTTCTACTATGCCAACTGATCAACCTGTAAGTATTTTTTTTTTTGATTGATTGAGAAAAAATCCTATTTATCGTCTGTATATATGTGAGTCAATCAACAGTAGTATTGCGTGTGAAGAAAACGTCATTTTTTTTCATTTTTTTTATTTGATTTTCTTAAAAGAAAATAGTTAACTGACATATTTAATAATTAATGTGTAAAAAATGGAAAAGAATATGTGTCGTTTGCATTTTCTTAATTGAATACATTAGAACTAAAGAGTCAAATAAAGAAACACAAAAAAATAAAACAACTTTATAGAAGAATTTTTTTGGCAAGATTAAATGATCAATGTAAGCGATTTTTTCTTTCTAATATTAATTTTCGTAGACATAAGGTAAATATTAAATATAATAGATCGATTTTACTTCTGGCAATTCGATGAATAATAAATG